TTTCACACTTAATTTAATAAATTTTAATTACTTATTATCAACATGGTGGAACCCCATACAGATATTTATTGTTCTGAACTTTGTTACATTTTTATTATGGGGATGAATGTATGTATGTATGTAAGCGTGGAGTGCGTAATTTTTACGCTCGCACTTAGGCCCCAGTGGGCCCCTTGTGCATTCTCCTTTGGAGGCTTGAGGTGGTATGAGAAGGTATCTCGTTAGGTGACGATACCGCTTACTCGTTGCCAATGACGAGTTACCGCCGCCCCAACCCCCCGACCCACACTTCATCGCGGCCGCAGCCTGGCGGAGCGCACGGCTATCTCAACGTCCTGGCGGAGGAGCGCACGGCTAGCTCAACGTCCTGGCGGAGGAGCGCACGGCTCACTCAACGACCTGGCGGAGCGCACGGGTAGCTCAACCTCCTGGCGGAGCGCACGACTCGCTCAACGGCCTGGCGCAGGTCCGATCAGCGTGAGCCTGGGGTCAGAGAGCGCTCACGCGCATTCGTCCCTATAAAGTCAACACACACATGCGTGCTGCTAACGACCAAGGTTTATATATTAAAGGTTGTCTAAGTTCCTATGCTGCAATACTTTGATTTTAGTTTGTGGGCGAGGGGCAAGAGCAGGAGTGTTTCGTGACGTAAGCGATCACGGATTGCGCACGCAACCTCATTGCCATGTGGTGCTCCATGCCTTTGTTTAATTTGAATTGCTTGGCGGTATTATTTTCCACATGTGACGTAATGCGCAGTATGATTGCGTACGAACCTAGACAACCTCTTATATATAAACCTTGGCTAACGACAACCAGAGATTGACGACTGGTTGCATGGGGATGAATGAAGATTGATGTCTACAAGCACAAAATTGATTATTATTGTTATTACTGCCTTCCAAAAGTTTAGGGCAAATGTAGGTCTTTGATGAACCCTATTATTGCTCCAAGATCTTGTTTCTTTATGTCGGTAGGTGTCAGGCGAATTTTACTAAGTTTGATCCTCAGCTTGTTCAATATGAAAGAGATGGTGTTTTAGAGGCGCATGGCCTAACCTCTTTGGTTTCGTTTTGCGATGAAGTTATCATATTCTTCGCTTATCTGTGCCCTGGAAGTTCTTTCCAGCGTGAGGCTACCTTCAAGGTCTCAATTATTGATTAGCTGTTTTAAGTGGCTTTTTTGTAGTCCTCAATCGGGTTGGGGTCCAATAAAGGGAGTTTTGCTGCCTCTTTGACCAGTTTTCCGTCTGCCTTTTCATTGGCCTCAATAGCACAAAATTGATACTCACGAGGATTTTTTGCGCTTTTATTAGGACGATGAGACATTTTGAATATGCTAGGCTATTGAGAGAATGTTGAAAATATGTAAAAGTCTATTTAACCCAGATATGCCTAATGTACTACATTTAGGACGGTCAATTCCTGTTGAAACTTGCAAGGTCATGAGCGCCTGGAAATGCGCACGTCACATGAAGTCGTGCATTTTAGATGTAGCAGTGAGAGTGATAATTTGCAGTTTAGGTATTTTCTTTAGATTTTGTTTTAAGTGCATCCGAAAGTCAAGATAAGTTGGAAATGGATTATTGCAGGGGGTTTTCGATTCATGAAGCCCTTGCTATGCTTGAGGACAATGACGACAATGTCAACCAGGTTGATGAAATAACTATATTTCCTCCTGTAAACGCTGCAGCCAACCTGACAGATGAAGATTCTGGAGCAGAAAATGATCTTACAGTGAATAACCTACCGGCATCACAGTTACAAGCGCCGGTGGAAATCGTAATTGAAAGTAACTACGACAGTGATTTTTGATCAGATGACAATATACCTCTATCAGAGTTACAATCACAAAACACGGCAGCAAGAAACAAACAAAAAGTAAAAACTAAAAAGAGACAGATGCACTACAGTTGGATAAAAGAAGATTTGAAATTACCGCCCACCGACTTTGATAGTCCTACGAATTCGGCAATCACAGAAAACCCCTTAGAGCTTTTCTCAAAATTTTTTGACGAAGAAGTAATACAATTGATTTTGAATCAGAGTAATAAGTACGCACAACAAAAAAATAGGAAAGCGAATATAGAAAAGCAGGAAGTAAACGCTTTTATAGGCGTTTTGATACTTAGTGGATATATGCAAGTACCGAGACGGAGGATGTTCTGGGAACCTGAAAAAGATTGCCATAACGTCATGATTACAGAAGCAATTACAAGGGAACGGTTTGACTATTTGTTTTCTAATCTTCATGTCTGTGATAATCAGCAGTTGGACCAGGGTGCTAAACTAAGGCCGCTTTTCACACTGTTGAATAAAAAATTCATGGAGAAATGCACTCAGTTGATGAAGCTATGGTTCCGTATTATGGACGTCATAGCTGTAAGCAGTATATTCGAGTAAAACCCATGCGCTATGGATATAAGTTATGGGTATGAAGTACCAGGTTAGGTTACTTGAATTGGTTCGAACCTTATCAAGGAGCCTCTACAAATATAAGTGAAAACTTTTCTGAATTGGGAGTTGGTGCTGGAGTAGTCTTAGAATATGCGCAAGCTTTACGTAAGGAATGGCCAGATAAAAAATTTCATCTCTTTTTTGATCACTTTTTTACGTCAATTTCGTTGATCGAAAAACTAACTGACTGGAATTTTTATGCTACTGGTACGGTTAGAGAAAACAGGCTAAAAGACATTTCTCTTATAGATTGAAAACTCATAAAGAAGCAGCGCAGAGGAAGTTATGATTATGCAAAAATTGTAGAACAGAATATAATTGCAGTAAAGTGGCACGATAATAGTGTAGTTTCTGTTTGTTCCAATTTTTCTGGAGTTGCTCCAATTCACTCGGTCACACGTTATTCGCAAAAAGAAAAGAAGAATATTCAGGTACAGCAGCCGCATCTTATACAGATGTACAATACAAATATGAGAGGTGTCGACCGCTCTGACCAAAATATCAGCTTATATCGAATTTCGATCAGAGGAAAAAAATTGTATTTTCCTTTGATATCTCACTGTATTGACATGGCAATTCAAAACACATGGCATTTGCATCGCAAGTATGGAGGAGAATTAGATCAACTTAGTTTTAGAAGGAGAATTGCTGTAATGCTGTTGGTTCAGAATAAAAAAACATCATCATATCAAAAAGGACCCACGAAATAGATATACGGTTCGAATAGATCATTTAGTTATGCCCCAAGAAAAACAAACTAGGTGTGCTCATTGCCATCAAAAAACTACAACGAGATGCGCAAAATGTGACATTGGTGTACACACGAAGTGTTTTGTTCAGTATCACACTAATAAATAATTTTACGTTTATAGATATTCATGTCCAATTTAAAAAAAAAACAAATTGTCATGGTTTGTTTGTGGTTTTAATTTAGGCATATCTGGGTTAATAACTAACTGTATAAAGAAGGATAAACTTTGTAGTCTGTATTGTTTTTCTTTGTAGTATTGTATTTCTTTGTATTAGTCTATTATTAAAAAAAATAAAAGTCAGTGAATGCAAATAAGGCATTCATAAGCAAGATTTGTTGTTTGAAAATAAATTGAAAAAACATCAACACGAACATCTTTAATTTACAATGATGGTGTTTCAGTTTAACGTTTCTTTTGTTAACAGTTGTTGTTGAAAAGCAATAAATTTACACAATGAAGATAACAGTGGTAATTAATCTGAAACGTACCTAGTAATGCAAATTCAAGTGGGTAATGCCCAACAACAACGACACGTTTCACGACCAATAAAACAAACCGTATGCAACAATTAATCTCATTCACAACGACACAACGTATAGTAACAACCATGTATTTCTTCTTCTCTTTTCTTCTTTATTGGTTTGAAATAAGAACAAAAAATCATTAATATTTTTGCTTCTACATCGTGTGCGTCCGAAAAGGTCAAACGTAGCTTCTATTTATTGAATCTTTACAAATAGAAATAAGAAAAGGCGCTTATTATAAACCGTTAGTGCCTTCCCTATAATGATGGACAAGAACTGTTGTGGACTTGTCATTAAAATGGCTAGAACGTGCTCTTTAAAATTCTTCTAGCGCTATGTTTCATCGGCTAAATGGCATCTTCGTTATCGGGGAGTTCTTCGATTCTTCAATCCATACACGGTGACCGTAATTAACGGTTATATGCTGCGTTTAGTGCTTGCGACATCTCATGTGAGAGTGTTCTTAATGATTCTTTAAATGTTGTTTATGGATAATTTGTACATACAGTAATTTTAAATCGAACGCCCGCATTCAATTTTCATAGTTACGAAATAACTCAAAATAATAAAATTTTAATCTTCTAATCTTAACATTTAACAGTTAAATTAAGATGAACATAGTGACTTTTTTCACCTTGGAATTAATCTCACATTCTTCTTTTCTCTACTAAAAAGAAAAATGATTCTTCTTCTTCCACTTGTTATTGTCGCCGTTTTATCTCACTTGTTCACCCGCAGGAGAATTCCGCGATAATTTATTACTAAACCCAAGTACCATTAATCCGCCCGCAGATAACTCTCAAGACATGTCGAGTAAAAGCCAAGTCTAAACCAAGAATGAAAAAAAAGTAAAGAAGAAGAAAAAATAACATTCTCGAGGAGCATATAAACAGATCCAAGATACGGTCGCCCTCGTAAACTCTTCATCGAGAACGACTTGACAATGGATTCAGACGAAGCAGGCGTCTTAAAAGCGGTTGTTGTATAACTTGAACGTCTTCGTGGAATTATTGCACGTGTCGTTCGAATGAATACGCCACTCAGTGGTTGTCACTGCCGCGAAAGATAGAAAGAATGAAAGAATGCGTTCGTTGAGTCTATTTATGGTGTTTTTTTTATTGGAGGTATTTAATGGGTCGATAGCAAATTCTTCTATATTTATCTTCAGGGCTTTCAGCGCAGGTGTGCTAATCTATAAGCAGGTGTATCTATTAATAATGAATATGAATACGATCTTCATTCTCATAAAAATTTGTTTTTTGTTTCAGTGGCGTAGCGATGCCTTGTCATACCAGAATGAAATCCATTTTTCTAAGAGGTGAGTAACAAATAAAACGTTTTTCGATTAGATAATAACATGAATATTCAACTTTCGAGAGTAGATACAGAAACGATATAGTAACCGAAATTAAAAATGAAAAAAAAAACTGTTCGCTTAATAAACGTTTCTCTTAACTGGTTTCGCACAAGATATAATACACGTTCGTTACATAAACGACTGGTCCTTTTACTTTACTGTTTGCGTGAAACGACCGCACTCCTACACGGTTTCTTGAAAACGCAGCAGAAACAGATTCCGAACAAACTGTGAGTAACATTTTTTTTATAAATGTTGCGGTCGGTTTAGAGAGGACAAAGTTTTTTATAAAGGTTACAAATGTATTTATGCGGTTTGGTACGACCTTGCGAAGAATCTGAAACGGCTTTTCATAATAAATCGTTTTTGTATTTTACGGTTGAGAGTAAATTGAAATTAAGTAATCAATTTTATGGGGTAAACGTTGGAAGCTATTGAAAGTTATGTTTTATTAAGGAAACGTTTCTTAACTCATTGAGTTGATCTTTGTTCAATTTTTAGCGTTACTTATTTTATTAGCAAGACCTTAAGATTTCCGATGAGTGAGTGGATAAATATTTATCTCTCATTTAGTTATAATCTAATTAAACATCACATTTTACATTAATTTTGTCGATTCTACATCATTTACTTCATAAAACAATTCGAAATTCTAAGAAGTAAGATGTTGCAAAATTGACGCCTACATCATTGATGTGGTCGCAGTTTTATGAATGAAAAAGATGATGTGGCTATATATGGTTGTGAGGATAGCATTTTTTAATGCTAGATGTGGGTGCTCAGATAATGAGATGAAAGAGATTAGATAATCTAACAGTGCACACTTTATTAATAGAAACATAATAAGTTAATTTTATGATGAATAGAGTTTAATTATGAGAAATACATGACATTTTCGCAGAAAGACACGTGGACTCCGTTAGTTACCGTTTTTATTTATTAATGTAGGTGTGTTGTTGTATTAGTCATCTTAAGCTTTATGACAGTTGAGTTATTTAAATATCATAATAAACGGATTTTTACTTTCGCTAATATCGAGGTTATTTACATCCTAGTAGGATTAAAAATAATTTAATGTTTAATCAACAATCCTCAATGTATCCATCAAGATTCTAAAGTCCTCCAGGTGACCCTAGATACCATTTGCGCTTGGTGTAAGGGAGAGAAGTTGGATGGACTAATCCGCCCAACTATCCAAGGTGAAGAAATTCGTTTCTCAAAGGAAGTCAAATATCTAGGAGTAATCCTAGACAAAACCCTGTCATGGAATGGACATTTGCAGGGAGTTTTGCACAAAGCTAGACTATCCTTGTGGACTTGTCGCAGTCTTTGTGGGTCTTACCCCTGAAAGACTGTACTGGCTCTATGTGACTGTGGTTAGACCTATGATCACATACGGAGCAGCAGCCTGGTATAGGAAAGTCCGACAGACTTCAGTTATCAGTAAACTTTCACGAATTCAACGAGTAGCTGGATTGGCAATCTCTGGTGCGATAGGCACAACGCCAACTCTAGCAATGGAGGTTCTGCTTGGCCTATCTCCTCTGCATTTGCATACAGAGAAAGTGGCTAGAACAACCATTTACAGATTTAAGCAATATGCACAAAACTGTTCCGACATGTCCTACCAATGAGCTGCGGAAGACATTATAAGCACTGATACTGTGCTATCAATGCCGTCAGATTTGGCGGTATCACTATCAGTGATTAATGCTCGATACCAGATTGTACTGCCTGAGCGGCATCCTGGATCGAAAATAAAAATTCTCTGGTTCGGGCAGACATTTGCTTGTACACAGATGGATCAAAAACGCCTTAAGGGGTAGGAGCAGGAGTATACTGCCAGACACCTCGAATTAAGCAAGCCTACAGCCTGGGTACGTACTGTACTGTATTCCAGGCGGAAGTATTTGCTATTGACATGGGTGCTAAAATCCTTCTTGAAAGAGGGGTGAAGAACATGACAGTACGAATTTTCTCAGACAGTCAAGCCGCTCTCCAGGCGCTGCAAGCCGTGAAAACGGTGTCGGCTCTGGTTAATGATTGTAAGAGAACATTAAACACACTGAGTTGTGATAACAGAGTCTCTCTGATCTGGGTCCCGGGTCACTCTGGGGTTGCTGGCAATGAAGCGGCAGATAAGCTAGCACTAGATGGCAGCGCTGAAGCGTTTGTGGGGCCGGAACCAGCAGTTGGTGTATCATTTGCGATGGCCAAATATAGGATTGGACTGTGGGCTGAAGAGAGACTTCGCCTACTGTGGACCAGTTCTCCTGGAATGAGACATGCTAAGGTGTTTATTAACATCGCCACTGTCAAACCCGGGAATATTTTAGGATCGGGGTACAATAGATCCTTAGGGTCGCGGTGCAAGGTTGGTTGGTCCGCCTACCCGATATGTATTCTATGTAATGTAATCCATCAAGATGGAAATTTTTCAACACAAGGTAGTTTTAGCATTGAATTATGAGGTTCTTGTACAACGTAATAAGATAACAGAAAATTAGTATTACAGTATGATTAGAGATCGCTACATACTAAAAATTCAACAAATAATACAAAAATTAATAAGACAAATATTTAGATACACAGTAGTTTTTAAAACTCCATATTTCGTTGGCTTCTATAACAGAACGCAGGCGTCGTGGCATTGAAGCAACTAACTTTGTTGTCTCTTCTGCTGTTATTTCAGCCCAAGATTCGACTAACGCAGATTTGCGATTTTGCGCTGCTGGATCTTACGTTCCAAAAGCTCCCAAACATGCTCGATTGGATTTCAATCCGGACTCTGAGGAGGTGTATTCAATTTGATAACTTGTCTTGCTGGAATATCCAGTGATCCTCGATGACCAAGCTTTCCACTGATGACTTTAAATTTGTTCTAAAATATTTTTATATTTATACACCAAATTTTTCAACTCCATAGCCGTGTTTCGTTTCCTCAAAATTTTTGCTCGACCATCACTTCCAAAAAGTATGTACTTGATTGGTCCATAAACAAATCCCTAGACCAGAAATCCATTCCCTTGCGACATAAGGCGATTCTTTTCTGAAATCAACGGTTTTCTTCGGAGAGTCCTGCTGAAAAATCCATTATCGCGTCTGTACGGTTCTTTTCTGTACAGATTTATTAGATACAGTCGCGATGTGGTCAGCTAATTTTGCTAACTCTAGAGTTTCTAAACTAAAATTAGAACTAACACTAGAAACTTTCGGGTTTTGCCGTGCGTCTTTTAATAAAAGGTTTGACGTTTCGGATGCCATGTTGCAACCTTCTTCAGCAACTTAACGCTAATTACAAACTAATTTGCGACGTCCTTTCCTGGTTCGGTCCTAGGAAAGGGGTCTTGGTGCCATTAACTAATTGCGTCGCGTCCGGTGTGAGGCGGGAAGAGGTCTTTGTGTTCACCACCATCTTCCATGTTCTGCTAAGCTCCCAGCCATCCTCTCTGTTGACGTTATTTCTATGTCGGTGGATCTCTATGGCTTCTCTTGTCAGTCTTTGGTAGTATCTGTTGTCCCTAGCCAGCACCTTTGTTTGTTCGAAGTCTATTCGGTGCCCCTCTGCATGGCAATGTTCCGCAACCGCCGACTGCTGGATCTTCTTCAGCCTTACATCCCTCTCATGCTCCTTGACTCGACGTTGCGTCCAGTTTGGCCAACATAAACCTTCCCACAACTACACGATAGTTGGTAGACTCCCGCTCCTTTTAATGGAGTTAGTTTGTCCTTGGCTATCGGGAGTGTGTTCCGAACTTTGCTGACCGTGCCGACCGCACTACGATGTCGTTCTTCTTGAGGTGCCTAGCAATTCGTTCCGTTACACCTGAAACATAGGGAAGATAAATCCAAGTGGTTTTGTGCTTACCGTGTCCTCTTTCTGCTTTCGCTGCTTGATGGCCTGGTTGATGTCCCTCGAAGTGTATCCATTTTTCTGCAGCACGCCTCGTAGAAAGTGTTGCTCCTTCTTCAAGTTCTCTCCTTCACATAGTCTCGCTGCTCGCTGAAATAATGTACGGATCACGGATCTCTTCTGTTGGGGATGATGATGTTAACATGCCTGTAAATACCTGTTGGTATGGGTCTTCTTTCGGTATACACCAAGTTCTATATCTCCATTTATCGTCCTGGTGACCAACACATCTAGGAAAGGTAGTTTTTTGGCAGTTTCTGTTTCCATGGTGAACTTAATCATAGGATGTTGAGAGTTCAAGTGATCCAAGAACTCTTCTAGCCGTTTTTGACCATGTCGCCATATCACAAACGTGTCATCCACATATCGGAGCCATAGTTTTGGTTTCCACTGGCTCTTCTTCAAAGCGTCCTCTTCGAATAATTCCATGTAGAAATTAGCTATAACTGGCGATAGTGGAGATCCCATGGCTGCCCCTTCGAACTGCTCGTAAAATTCTCCTTTCCAGCTGAAATACGTCGACGATAAGCAATACTCCACCAGATCTGGCACGTATTCTGGTAAACCCTCCGGAATGAGTTTTCGGCGAAGACCCTCTACAGCATCCTTAACTGGTACCCTAGTAAAAAGGGATTCCACATCGAAACTTACCAACATATCCCCAGCTTTACACCTTTTACCGTTTCCACAAAATGTGTAGAATAGGAAGACAGAATCTTTCCAAGATGTTTGGCCAGCTGGTATGTTGGAGAGTTGATGGCGCTGACGATAGGGCGGAGGGGGACATCTGGTTTGTGAATCTTCGGTAGTCCGTAGATTCTTGATTTTTCGAGTTTTTGCTCACTTCTTTTAATATGTAAGTAATATCTCTTCTAGAAAGTTTCTTTGGCCGGCCTTTACGGACTTTGCTAGCCAATGAATCAGTCTCATTGTAATTTTTGACGATGGTCTGGACTGTTGCTCGGCTTAGATTTATAATTTTAGCAATTTCGCCGTAAAATATCTTTTCTTTTCGATATTTTATCACCAATTTTCTAATTTCAACAGA